TAACCGTAATATTTCCTTTACTGTCAGAGACGAATCTTGCTAATAGAATGAGTGAGGGCTTAATTATTATTATCAAAAACATATTATACTATCACAAAAAAGTATAAATACATAAACATACATTGATAATATATCGGACTTAAAACTAATCATTATGAGTTAAAAAAATTGTTGGATTTTAGACGTACGAACCTAGCGTACGCGCAGCGGAATTTAAATTTTTTCTTACCAACAACGAAGATCCGGCTATAGCCATTCGATGTGATCCTAGATCGCGTGACTGATTAACGAAAACTTACCGTTGTTCGTCATGTCCTCGACTATGGTATCCACGCAATCCAGTTTCCCGATGCACGATCCAACGCCAATGAATCCTCTCCGGTGAAGAAGCTAGGAATCTTCGAGCCAGAAAGCTAGAGAGTGTTTTTTTGTTTTACGGCGTATCTCTTTTTCTCATCTAATGATCGTTAAAGACTACCATGAGATAATGACCTATTTATAATCAAGTTAAACCTAATTATATGGGCCTTAGGAAATCTTACAGCCCAATAGGTAATTGGACCTAATCCAATTTTTAATTTTAATTAAGTATAAATCTAATTTAACTCAATTAAATATTTTCCATCAAATAGAAAATTATCTCATTATTAATTAAGCATAAATCCAATTTAACTTAATTAAATATTTTCCATCAAATAGAAAATAATCTCATTACTCATAAATAAATATTCCAATCTAATTGAATATTTAACACTCTCGATTCACTCTTAGTCGGAAAACTGATTGCTTATTGTGTGACCCTATAGGCCTTCATATATTGACATAAATCTAATTTATGATCCTTACGAAACTCCTAGACTGCGTCGAAGGACGAACTCAAAATATGAAGTACGTTTACATGGACAAGCAAACAAACCTTTAGTGTAGAATCCAATAGTGATACGGTCCCTTCATTCACGACCCACTCGATTAAGCTTAGGATTTGAACGTGGGTCTATCCAAACAGCTTAATCATTTTATCTCATCTCACTGGTTGATTTTATCAATTATATTTGAACACCATTTCAAATATAATCACGTGCATTGGCCAATGACTTTATCAACCCAGTATAGAGAAAACGAGTGTTCTCTCGAAACTATATTCGAGGAATGAATCCTATCTTGGCTCAACTACCAATCCCATGTATATCGTGATCTACCCAACACGAGCCCGTGTCTACCCATAAGGGCGTAAGCGTTGGACTAGGTCTAAGTAAATCACTCTATACATGAATTGCGTATTGACCTCAAGTCAAAGGACTATTACACCATTCCACACACCGACACTCCCATAGACACATAAACAAATGGTTTATCGGTAGGGTATGCCAATACTCTCCAAAGTATCCATGTGTCCATCACGAATAACAATTATTCATAGCAGTGAGACATACTATATTCTCTAAGAATATGATGCAGACCACATGTCAATCTATCGCGTATCATTAATATCCCTTTCTTAATGATCATCGATTGAGGCGATTTTAGAGTTATACTTTATCAATTAACATCTCACTCTGCTAATGACAGTATCAACTCAAGGGAGCAATTAATTAATAAATTGCAAACAATCAAACAATTACTTAATTAATTGCAATACCATAATTATAATCCAATATAATTATTAATGTGATCATGTATATATGTCTTTAAAATGATTGTCTCTAGGACACATATACCAACAAAAATGTCAAAAAATTTTAAAAAAATCATAGCAAAATTAAATATGTCAACAAAATGGATGTTTTTGGCATCTAATCCTTGAAGTTGAAAAAATTAGAGAAATTTTATCAGTGGTAATTAATTAAAAGAAAGAAGAATCTTTATAGAACAGTTCGCCCTTGTTTTGCCTAGTCCATGTCTCAAAAGTAAACAGGTAAAAACATTGAATTGGAATTCCCAAAATCTAATTGAGGAAATTGCGCCTAACACCTCCCCACAATAACTTATTTGCACTATTACGAGGTAATAAAAATATTTAGCAAATCTACCAAATCTTATATTTTAATTGCAAACATGTGACAGTTCTATTATTCAACATAAATAAGGTTATGAGATATTCCTTAAATGAGGGAAAACTTATCCAACTCTCTCTTTCTCTCTCGCAAATACCGTCGATGACTCTCACCCTCATCTTCTTCCTCCTCATCTTCCATCGACCTGCCTCCGCATCCCGTGAAGAGGTCCGATCAATCCTTGAGTTCAGAAAAGGCATCAAACTCGACCCTTTCGACCTCGTCTTCTTCTCTTGGGTGCCCCCCCGTCGACGCCTCCACCTGCTATGAAGACTTATACAACATCGTTTGCTACACCGCCGGTGGTGCTCTCGACAGCCTCTGCCTTACGTGTGAACTGAAATTTTGGATCCCTGCTTGCGAATGTTTAAGGCGGCGTGAGAAGACGAAGGGCAACCGTGACCTAGGGCATCGATCTCCCTGCTCGCGATTTTCATCTCCACCAGACAGTATATATGTCGTATATATGTAGTATATTTATACCTTTTTCGTTGTTTGTGTAGTTGCATGTATATATACTATATATTTTTCGTATATATACTGTTTATATATTTTTTTATATGCACACTATTAGAGTGTGTATAATTTGGTTTTTTCGTATGAAAGATTTGAATTGAAAATTATAAGGATCGACATGATCCTAAGTATATATATTGTATATTTGTTGTATATATATTGTTTATATGATGTATATTTTATGTATATGTTGTGTTCTCCACCATCTTGTTGATCAGAAAATGGACGATGCTGCTTGTGATTGACACTGCTTGTGATTGACGACGTTGTTTGTGATTGTATAGTTCAGAATTTGTTTTTTCTTTTTTTATTTTTAATTAATGAAAGAATACCGTCAGTTACTTGAATCATATGATGACAATTGTTTATTTTTTGTTTGACAGTAGTTATCCAAATAATTTTGTTAAACTAGACATATTTGCAAATAAGATTTTATTTTTGTATTTATGCAATTCTTTTTAAATTCTTTACCGTATAAATGCAAATTGCCCAATCTAATTCATAATAGGAAGAATAATTTGAAAATGTGGAGTTTAAAAATAAAATACTTATAATTGGGCCCATTTCGTATTCAGGCCCAAATTCTTATTTGTGCCAATTGGGCTTAGCTTCCTCTCAAGTTTAAAAATAGACACCTAATTCTCTTATTTTTTTTATTTTTTTTTTTATTTTTCAAATTGAAGAAATAACTATACCAAAATTTAAAGGTACGATTTCTCCTACCAAAAATTAAATTAGCTCAAGAAAAATGCATGAAGAAATATCTTCCTTAATAATAAAATTAATAATAAAATAATGATAATAATTATAATTATAAATAATACTAATTATGGGAGTTTTTTTCTAGTACATAAATATAATGAATGACATAGAGTTTGACATAATACAATGCACTGAGATACAGTGAGATTATGTGGTTTTATAAAAGTGGAGTCAATTTTTAATAAGAAAAACAAATTGTCTCTTTTTTCTTATATATTAAAACATATAGAGATTTTTATTATTTTAATTTTTAAAATAATTTACATTAAATATGAATGCATAAATATATTTTACCATATTAATTAAATATAATTTTTCATATCAAACCACATTTTTTCAACTTGCACCTGCACGACGGATTAACTCGGGACCCGATCGACTCAGAGCATGAATCGGTCCGGGTGGGTGCTTCGGACTCGGTCTAACTGGCCTTGACCTTGGTCGATGTGGTTTGACTCGGTCCCTATATTTTTATTCTTATTTTTTAAAGTATCTTTTTAATAAAAATAAAAACTATATGTATATAATTATACCGTAAATATTTATTATAATAGTTAAAGCATTATTAACAGTTAGATGCACAAAATTTATATGCAAAATGTTTATTTCTGATGCTTTTATCTATATTTATATGATAAAGCACTATATAATTCAAAATTAATTATACGATTTAGCAGTTGATCTGGTAACCCGATAATCGACCGTGACACGAAGGCTTATTCGGGTCGATTTCCTGGCAAGACTTAAAAACTATCAAAATCATGGAGCAAAACCATTGGGTGTTGGTTCCATAAGGGTACCAACCAGTTGGCTTTATAGCAACATTGTAAAACTATGTATCGAAACTCAGAATGTACTCTACATATATACCCCTTTATCGCTCTACATTCAATGCGTATCATTTTTCTACTATAATCACTAGTTTATGATCCTAACACAAAATGAAATCCGCAAATATTGCAATAATATATAATATTCCTTGTGTTTGTGGTCGTCGTACTTGAAGTTGTAACACCACCTGGTTTGATCGCTATCTTCTCTCTCTTAAAAATTTCAAATGAATAACACTTTCAGGTCCACATATTATGATGATCGTTGAAGCAAAACTTACACGTCCACGTCCACGTCCACGTCGACCTTCCAATGGCACATGCTATATGGAAGTGCAAGGTGGGAGTCATCGCAGTTATTATTGTTCCTGGTGCAAACGCGTTGGCGATATATGTTATTGCCCAGATAAGGGTACATATGAGTAGGGAGGAAACTGAAATATTACCAAATGCATGCTGTGAGGAAACAAATAAATAAATAAATAAATAAATAAATCTTGTACTACAATAAGTCTTCGGACACAAAATAATGTTTCTTTTTTTCTTCGTTTTTTTTTTTTTTCTTTTTCTTTTTCTTTGGCCCATTGTCATCTACCCAGTGTGTGTGTGTGTGTGTGTGTGTGTGTGTGTGTGTGTGTGTGTGTGTGTGTGTTTTCCTCACTAAATTAACGTTAATGGATGCCTAATCATCTTGGAGGAAGGTCATGTGATCAATTTCGTCAACAACAATTATTTACTCCACATTAATTTAAGTCTGAATCCTATCATTTGATTGATATCAGTTGTCAAGCTCATGAAAAAAATTACTATTTAAGTTAAAGTAGAAGGCCCGAGAGGTTCATCGGATCCGATATCCAGTACAAGGGCCAGCATTTTGAGCTGATCCCATTTGGGTCGGGCCGTGGGGCTTCTGCTGGTCCACCGGATGGTCCACCTGGCGATCGCGAGTCTGGTTCAGTTGTTCGACTGGGATCTTTGGCCTGGCGTCAGGCCCAAGGATATTGACAGGGAGGAGAAGCTGGGGTTGACACTCGGAAAAAAGAATCCGCTGTTTGCGATACCTCCGACTAAAAGCATAAATTGTTGAACGACTAAAGAAATAAGAACGTATGCATACACTTCAAAGACCAAATGAGTTCGAACACTTTGTTCACTCGTAGCAAATTTCAAGTGAAATCATATTACATATGCAATACAGGAAGAACAACACACAGAGTAGGTAAATCACATGAAAATCCATTTTGCCATTAGCTACTTTGGTCGGAAAAAATTAAAGAAACAATGGATAAACTCATGAGACCTCTGTTTTAGCCCTTCTTACTCCCGTACACAGGGAATCACTTTCAAGGGCACTTTCTTGCGCAAGGTCAAGCCCACCATTTCCCTCATGTCCACCTCTTCAGGCCTGAGCCCATCCGCAAGCTTCCAGTCGAACGTCTGCAGCAAACTAGCCAGGCTGAGGCTCACCATCTTGTGACCCAAAGTCATGCCCAAGCAGCTCCTTCGGCCCGATCCAAACGGGATCATCTGAAAATGCTGGCCCCTGAAATCCACGTCAGACTCCAAAAACCTCTCCGGTTTAAACGACAACGGGTCGGGCCAAGCTGCCGGGTCCCTATGGATCGCCCACGCGTTAACAAGTAGTTGTGTGTTCTTGGGCACAAAGTAGCCCATTAGCTCCGTGTCCTCCATCGAGTTCCTCGGAAGCAGCATTTGCAGAGCAGGGTGTAGCCGTAATATTTCCTTTACGGTTGCCTGCAAATAAGGCATTCGGGTCAAGTCATCCTCTTGGACTTTGCGGGTACGCCCCACGACCTGGTCGATCTCGTCTTGGATCTTTTTCATCGAGCTCTGGTGGCGGAGTAACTCAGCCATTCCCCACTCGATGGTGGTGCTCGTCGTCTCTGTTCCACCGAAAAACATTTCCTAAACGACCCAAAACTATTTCGGTTAGTGGATACGAATCGCGTCATAATAACTGGAAAAAAAAATACATTTTATTTACCAATATGACAATTGCAATGTTCTTTGCTGAAAGCATATCGAGCCCATCCTCGTCAACTTCACCTTCGTCAAGCAACACGTCTAACAAATCTTCCCTTTCCTTTCCGATTCCCGATTCCCTCTCCCGAATCCTATCCTCCACAATCCCGGAAGCAAATGATATCAACCTTCCCAAATACTTGGCCGTGTTCCTCCTAATCCCTTGCGGATCGATCCACTTCAAAAAGGGGAAAAAATCGGCCACGTTAGGCTTTCCTAACCACTCCAGAAACATCAAAAAGTTGTCGAAAAAATCACTCGCTCGGTCGAGCCTCGTGCCCATAACGTCCCCGGACAGCACAATATTCCCGACGGTATTAAAAGCGGACACGAAAAGGAACCGATCCAGTCGAACCTCTCCCGATGCTCCATTCTCCTTGGATTTCGCCACGTCGCGCTTGATCCACTCGATCATTTCATCCACGCCTTTTTGTCTAACGGCAGCCGACTCGTTTACTCGCTTCTGGACAAGAAATTGCACGTTGCAAATACGGCTAACCTTCCGCCAGTATTCGCCGTAGGCTCCCATGGCCACGGATCCCCGGTTGTACCCTAAGGCCGTGAGCGAGTCGGGCGCCTTCCGGTCGGCAAATTGGAGATCGCGCTTCTTGAAGAGCTCGGCGGCTGCTTCGGATGATTGTACCACGACGGTGTTAACGGAGCCGAGCCTAAGGTGCATGACCGGGCCGTAACGGACCTGGAGCTTGTGGAATGTCTGGTGGGGAACCTCGCCGAGATCAAAGATGTTGCCCAACAACGGCCAGCCCGGCGGGCCTGGTGGATGAGATTTTGAGGAGTTTTTCTTCAAGTTGATAAAGAGCTTGACAAAAACGGCTAATAAGATTATTAGGGTAGCTAAACAAGGGAGTAAACTAAATGTGCAGTCCATCTTTTTTTTTTTTTTT